AAGCCTCAGAGACTACCCCCCCGACCAGAAATGCTTGGGGGGAGGGCGAGGAATGGTTGAAAGGGACCTCTGAAGGACATGTGTGTTACACACCCAACCTGAAAGTTTACAACAGTTGTTTAGACACGTTTTACCTCGCACAACCGCACTTCACCTTTAATTTCATTACGTACTCACGTTTTTGTTCGTTGCGATGGAGGGAAATACGATTGGTTTCCAACGGTGCAGTCAACCGAGGGTAGCAGGCTTGTTTCTATTGGTTCAAAAACAATCGCGGCGAATATTTGCCACGCGTCAATGAATCCACCACGCGTGCACCTAGACAAGTGATTTTGCTCGAGGCTCCGTAACCAGGGCCCCGTAATGGGTGAGGGTTACTTTGTCCTCACGCGGGACACGCCAGAAAAACGGCGAACCAAAGGCTGGGCACTCAGCCAAATCGGGCGGCTGATCCTTGGGCGCTGTTGGGGGCCGAGCCAAGATCGCACGTGGCTCGGTCGAAAGCTGACACAGCCCGGGCCCAGCTCGGCTGGGACCACCTGACCCAACTACACCAGGGCTGTGCCAGGCTGACGCAGCACACATTTTCGACTGGTTACCCAGCGAAAAGAGAATCTGGCGCGCAAACACCTGACGCGCCAGCATTTCTGTTGTGCGAACTGCAGAAGCGAAGTATCCACCTACCTGAAATGTTTCGCGCTGGCAAAGTAATGATTCGCCAGCAACCTCCAAATTCCCCCAACCTTTGTGCACCTGGACAGCGGCGAACGTTGAACGATCTGTCCCTGCCAGGGCCCACGCGCGATCTATCTGTACATGGGCTCCTCGCATGTTGAGTGGGCGATATTTCACAGATTGGATTGAACGGCCAGGATGACGCGTATGTGCATCGTTTCCTATCTGTATAGTGAATTTCTCAGACATGTTCAAGAATACTCACAACAAGCGTCGAAAAGGCAATGACCTTGCGATTATGTGTTATGGAGTATACAGCTTGAAGGTACCCTAAACTGTACCAATTTCTTGTAATTTATGAACGATTTCGTTACATGTGTAGCAGGTGTGTGATTCTAATTCCACTACAACACTAAATTCATGTATTTCCAACGTACTTCATACGCCATGTTATGTCTGCATTATATGTTAATTATCATGTTATATTTCCATAGTACAAATTTGCATGAGTTAAATACGCAAAAAAATCAACAACATATTCATAAATCACAGTACATGTTTTCACGTACACAAATCTACATCAACTAACACGATAAGTTACACTGGGAACATTTATACAAGATACTGGAATCTCAATCCATCGATGGTAGGGGCAAAATTTCGACCAACCAGAACGTGCAGGCGTGGAGCTTCACGACTGGCCAGAAACTTCAGAGCTACTTCCAAACCTGTGCCAAACCTACAACTCACCATCCATGCCTCGAAATCAGGTGCGACTTCTCGGTCTCGCGCTGGACAACACGCAACCGATACGCCACCAAAGCATCCAAATCGCAAACCATTGGCCAAAGCCAATGGTTTGCAAGTCGAAACGACTGGTTTTACCCAACCAGTCGCTGGCAACTGGTTTCCGATACGAAAGCGAGAAAACATAGTTTGGCGATGTGAGCCAAGTGGTACGGCCCGAATCGCAGCCTGTTCCTCGGTCCGTTCAGCGCGCCGCCCACGTACCTGAAGGGCGAGTTCCCCGGCGACTACGGGTGGGACACGGCGGGGCTGTCGTCGGACCCCGAGACGTTCGCCAAGAACCGCGAGCTGGAGGTGATTCACTCGCGCTGGGCCATGCTCGGCGCGCTTGGCATCGTCTTCCCCGAGCTGCTGGCGCGCAACGGCGTGCCGCTGCAAGAGGCGGTGTGGTTCAAGGCGGGCGCGCAGATTTTTTCAGAGGGAGGGCTCGACTACCTGGGCAACCCCGCGCTCATCCACGCGCAGAGCATCCTCGCCACGCTCGCCGTTCAGGTATGTTCGCTGTTCAGGTCTCTCTTACCTTTCCTTGATGCGCTTGCCGCGCTCCGTTAATCTGTACTTTTTATGTCCTCTCTTCTCACATTCCCTGCTTCGGCCCCGTCATTTCCGTCAAGACCCTTTCCTCGTCGTTAAATATCGCGAATTTGCGCGAAACACACGCGCTCACGCATCTCTGTGAAACGTGGTAACCCGATGCGTCGTTCCACAGGTGGTGCTGCTGGGCGCGGTGGAGAGCTACCGCGTGGGTGGTTTGGAGGGGTTCCAGGAGGTGGAGGATCCGATCTACCCGGGCGGCGCGTTCGACCCGCTGGGGCTGGCGGACGATCCCGACGCGGCGGCGGAGCTGAAGGTGAAGGAGCTCAAGAACGGGCGCCTCGCACAGGTGTCGGCGCTGGGCTTCTTCGTGCAGGCCATCGTGACGGGCAAGGGGCCCCTCGAGAACCTCGCGGACCACCTCGCCGACCCCACCGCCAACAACGCGTGGGCATATGCGCAGAACTTCGTCCCCGGCGCGTAAAGGAGTGGAGAGGGGTGGAGAGAGATTTGACGAGCTCGGATGGAGTTTATGACCTTAGCTTCGGGCTTTTGAGGGGCATAGGTGTACATCTGGTGAAACTGAACATATCTGTATAGCTGTAAAGCCAGGACTTCTGTGTGTTGTGTGTTTTGAGAGTTTTTGCATGTGTGTCTGAACCATTGCACCTCATTCTGAGATTTTATTCTACACAACACAACTGCCAGGACTGAAGCAAAACTGTCGTGTCGCTGACTTGGTAGCTCTGATACTGCCAGAATGGAACGTATTGCTCCCTTGGGCCTAAACAACCCATACTGTGTACCTGATCTGTGATGTCTAGCATTCTCTCGGCGCAAACCTTGGTCTTGGCTAGGCTATATGTCTAACACATGTCTCGCACATAACTGCTGTCATCCTGTCCATAATTTTCCCTTCAACCCAACAGAAATATTTTCATATATTTACAGAACAGCATGCATGGTATGGTATTCTGTGCCCACAAGTGACACATTGCACCTATCAGATACATCGAACACCCCTCACAATCACACCAGCACGAATCAACTCTCTCCGAACCCTTTCCGAGACCTTGCCGACTTCCACCTTCAAGTACCGCAATCTAGGGAAGCTCCTAAGCACACCTCCAATGCCTGCTGCCATGACCTTATCACACATGACCACCGTCAAGCTAGTGAGCGTTCCCAGTCTGCTTCCCACCACCACTGCATCTGAAAACTTGTCACTATGTTGCACCGTAAACTCCTCCAGCTCCAGCTGAACACATGCCGCAAGCAATTCAAGCCACTCCTCCTCTAACCCCGAGCAGAACAACAGCGCAAGCCGCTTGAGCTGTCCAAAAACAGCCGCTCGAGCAATGGACTGGAAGGACATTGGCCGAATGCGTGGGACTGAGGCAGAGGAGGAGGAGGCGAGGGACGCACAGGAGGAGGAGGATGAGAGACAAGAATGGGAAGGTGGTGGTGGAGGGGGTGGGGAGAGGTACATGCGAGGAGATGTGCAGGGGCAGCCAAAGAACACAGAGAGTGGAGGAGAAGTGGAACAATTTTAGGGTCAACGATTCCAGTGGAGGGCACAACACTTGCACAGGGATTGCTGGCTGGCAGCCTTTAGCACTATTGCCTCCTGACTCGCTGCTGCTTAGTTTCTCACACTCTGCTGCCGCATTTCCTGCTGCCGCCTCCCCTGCTTCTGCCTCCCCTGCTGCTGCCTCCCCTGCTGCTGCCTCCCCTGCTGCCGCCTCCCCTGCTGCCGGCCCGGATGGCCCTCCATCTTCTAGTGCGCTTTCCGCCTGCTGCAATCCTTCTGCCGCCCCTCCTCCCACTCTGTTCACTGCTACTCTTCCATCTGCTGCTTCTGCTGCCCCTCCTCCCACTCTGATCACTACTACTCCTCCATCTGCTGCTTCTGCCGCCCCTCCTCCCACTCTGTTCACTGCTACTCTTCCATCTGCTGCTTCTGCTGCCCCTCCTTCCACTCCATGCAAAGCTGCTCTTCCATCTGCTACTGCCGCCGCAACAGCCCCTGACCGCACAGAAGCAGCTGTAAGACCAGGAGGTTTGCGCATGGTCCGGGAGCTATCACACAGGCCACACGCTGCCTTCTGCAGCATATCTACCAGCGCGTCCAGCCTCCGCATAGCCTCTACATGTGTCTCCACCGCACCAGACCGCTCCCCACCCAGCACCCTCTCAGGCAAGGCTTCATCAGCCGGTGTGCTGTCCATTATTTCAAATCCTTGTTCCTCCTCCCCATCCCTGACCTCTTCTCCACCATTCACCTCCGTGGCAAAGTACCCTGCTGCCCGGCCGGCAACAGCACCAGCTGACCTCATCAGCTTTTCCTCCCAATCCATAACCGCATTGTACTCGCGGATGTCAGAGCAGGACCGGCACACCGAGATCCAGAACCTGATCTTCCCGAAGCTGGCAATAATCCGAGCCACAGCACTCTCGCCCCCTGCTCGCGCCACCTCAGTGACCTCGGACAAGGCGGCTCTACTGGTTTGCGCAGCAGTCCCGATGAAATCGGGAACCTCACCCACTGCTACCAGCTTGTCCGCCTGTGCTGCCTCTGCCTCTGTGCGAATATCCACATACTTTCCGCACTGCTTGTTGCTCCCCTTTGGTAATACTGCCGCTTCTGCAGCTGCTGTAGGAGCACTACCTCGTCCTCTCTCCCACGCATTCGCTCCTCCTTCCAATCCTCCGTCCCCTCCTGCCTCCCCTCCTGCTTCCCCTCCTCCGTCCCCTCCTGCCTCCCCCCCTGTCCTTCCTCCTGTTTGTTCCACCCACACGAGCATTCCCGCAATGCCGTCCAATGATACGCCTCTCCAAAAAACGGAGCAGGAGGATTCACCAATCCCTTCCACACTGAGCGACCGCAGGGCAGTGCAGGCTGCAAACAAGCCCGGGCGGAAGCAGGGGAAAGCAGTGAGGTTGAGGGAGTGGAGCTGGGAGGAACAGCGCGAGAGCAGGGCGCGGAATCCCTATGGACCAAAGAGACGGTAGGTTGTTCCATGGAGGGAAAGGGAGGTGAGAGCAGGGTTGGCTTGGAGGATGGGGATGAGGGAGCGGGAAGAGACGAGCGGGCAGGAGTGGACTATGAGGTGGGTGAGGGAGTGGAGGGAGTGTGAGAGGGAGGACAGCTCATAGGGGTCGACAGTGCAGGAGTGGAGGGAGAGGGACGAGAGGGAGGGGACGAAGGCAAGGGAAGCGAGGGAGCCCTGAAGCTTGGGAGAGTGGATCGTGAGGGACGTGAGAGACGTGCGGAGAGAGGATGGGGGGAAGGACGCCAGAGGGGAGGAGGAGGAGGAGGAGGACGAGGAAGAGGAGACAAGGGAGGGGGAGGAGAAGGCGAGGGAGGAAAGCGTGGAAGATTTGGGGTTCCCGAGGGTGAGAGAGGTGAGGGAGGAGCAGCGGCGAATGGAGAGGTAGTTGGAGGGAGCGTAGAGGAGAGAGAGAAACTGCAGTGAGGGGAATTGGTGCACTGGGGGGAGTGGCGGTTGTCGTGTGTAGGAGACACGTGCGCTTAGCTCCGATGAAGCCAAGAGCCTGCATGCAGAGGTAAGGTGTGAGGACGGAAGGGAGCGGAGGAGAGGAAGAGGAGAGAGGGATTGCAGCGAGAGGAGGTCGTGCATGGGGGGTGAGAGCTACTGCGGCTGAGAGAAAGGCGAACGCCTTTAGAGCAGGATTAGCTCCACTCATGGGCCTGCACGAGGGGAAAACGGGGTGAGTTGGGAGGGGAGCGGGACGAAGAGGGAGAAGGGAAGAGGGAGGGGTGAAGAGGGAGGAGTGAAGGGAGAAGAATGGTGGATGCAAGAGGCACGTCATCGCGAAAGTGTGAGGCCCTAAAAGTTGCGCGCCAACAGCTTCAAAGTTGCTTTTCCGCAACTTTGGTTTCGCAAGAAAAAAGTCTAGGTCAAATGTTTCTGGGGCGGGGTGACTTTCGAAGTTGCGGAAATGTGACGACAAAGCTGCAAAAGACAGCCATATCGCAACCACACAACCCAACTAAAAGTGACATCAGAAGTGACATTTGTCTGAAGGTAAGCAGCTTTAAGTCCACTTTTGCCACGTGGATACATGAACGCCTCGTTTTCAGATATTTTATGCCAGGTGTCAAGGTGAATAGTGGACCGAAAAATGCCACGTGGACCAATCAGATTTCGAGACGCATATTGGCCCACGCAATAAAATGTGTGAAGAATATATGTACTTTGAGAAAAATAAACTTTTATAAATACAATCCTAGTACATCAGAGCTAACAATTCGTACTAACACCATTTTCAACATGATCTGGCACAACAAATAATCTACATGAAGTACTTCAACGGACACAAACATTGCTGTCCTTTCAACCACTTCAGCCTGGAGTTATGAAACACACATAAAAACAGAAACATCAAATCACAACAAACGCAAAGTCATTTTTTCCCTCTTGGCCATGGTACCTGCAAAAACTGATGTTAGCCAGGATATCTGCAAAATCCAATGTTAGATTAACAGACGTCCAAGTGTACGCAGCACAACAGGGAGTCAACAATACAAGTGATTCAAACGAGGGGGTACTCACAACTACTTACCTGTCCTGTACGCGATTTCATCTGACATACAATAACGTGGCATGGTGACAACAAGGAAGACACATCTGCGCACAGGACAAGAGATCCATTCTGTGCACCGCATAGTAAGCGCGCGAGACCTGATGGGTTGGAAAAGAGCGTCTACTTCGATAAAAGCATAAAACGGAAAAGCGAGACATGCTGCGACGTACCGGAACATGCAACACGATGTGCGCTATCCGCATTGCGGTAGTAAGACGAACCCAGTTGACATTAATAGTTGAACCGTACCTGCAACCAACAGTCTGACGGCACAAAAAGAAACGAATAATTCAAAGTTAGCTTTAGGAGTTCTCAACCGAAAGCACAGCATGGCACCATGAGGCACATTAGAGCGTCATTCCGTCAGCGAATAATGGAGGATAGATTTGGAAAAGGGAGAAGTGGGCGAGGGATGAGAGTGAACAAGAAGGAAAGACTGTTGAGAAACAGGTTGAGAAGAAATGGTTGAGAAGTGGTCGAGAATATGGTTCAAGAAGGTTCTGGAGGTGGTAGGTGAAGTGTTGACGTGGAGATAAGGAATCGTGTTGATTGGTGGGAGAGTGTTTGGTTCCTCTCTTGATTGGTTAAAAAACGTCCGCTGGTTGGGTACCACGCAACACACGTTGGGTGTTAGTGTCTGGCGACAATTTGGTTCTTCGCTAATTTCGTTTGGCTTGAGATTGTCGCGCTGCTTGTTGGTTGGTGGTTTGGTTCTCGAATGTTCAAACTTTTGGTCAGAACAGTGTAACATTTCGTGAGCTTCGTCTCTTTCTTGGAAAGGAAAACCACAATGAAACACATTGTACCACGCGGAACTCCACGTGGGTGATTGTGTAATTGGTTGTAGAGTGGCGAAAGCCACTTTTTTGTCACTTT